ACTCTCCTGTGCCCTAAGGAATGAAAAAAGGCCAGAAGTTAGAGCCCTCACCCCCACTCCTCTTCCCACATCCTTTCCCTGGGCCAGTAAACCAGGACTCCAGGACAAGCAGGAGCACCTAGGGACTTGAGTGCCACTTCCAGCTTTGCCCCTGACCCACTGCATGACCTTGGGCACCCCTCTATTTTCCCACCTGCAACCCCCAGCTTCCCCCTTGAGGGTGCCGAGAGCTGTAAAGTAGTGACACACAAGAGGATGTCCCCATTGCACCTGCACTTGGCCAGGGACTGGGCCTGCCTGTATGTGTCCCTAACAGCTTGGAGTGACAAAGGGGCAGGAGCTTCAGGGATGGGACACATGAGTGAACTGGCTACTAGATCCTCCCCAAGCCCTCTTTCGCCAACTCCCCCTTCCAACTCCTCATCCCCTCAATTCCTCGGAGCTCTATCAGCACCTCCTCCACAACCACCTTGGCCCATAGTAGTATGGCCAGGGTCACATGCAACAGCTTCCTCACTGGTTTTCTTGCTCCTGTTCATTTTCTTCATTTGTTTGTTTTTAATTTAAAATATTGTGTTGAAATACACAACATAAAAGTTACCATTTCACCATTTTAAAGTGTATAATTCAGTGGTTTTGGTATAGTCACAAGATTGTGCAACGATCACCTTTATCTAATTCCAGAATTTGTTCATTGTTCCGAATGGAAACCCTGTACCCATAAGCAGTCACTCCCCGGTCCCCCTTCCCCCAGCCTCTGGCAACAACAAATATGCTGTCTGTCCCTATGGATTTGCCTATTCTTGGTGTTTCACATGAATAGAATCATACTAATATGTGGTCTTTTGTGTCTGGCTCCTTTTACTTAGCATGATGGTCTCCAGGTTCATTTATGGTATTAGCATAAATCAGTACCTCATTCTTTTTTATATGGCCATGTAACATTCTGTTGTATGGATGGACTACATTTGGTTTATCCATTCATTGGTAATGGACATTGGGGTTGTCTGCACCTTTGAGCTATTGTGAATAACGCTGCTCTGAGTGTTCTCATACAAGTGCTATTTGAACACCTGTTTCAATTCTCTTGGGTATACACCTACTAGTGGAATTGCTGGGTCATATGGCAACTCTATGTTTAACTTTTTGAGGAACCTCCAGCCTCATTTCCTTTTGGTCTATCACAGACCCTGTGAAGCTTTAAAGCTCTCAGTCCCTGGCTCCCCAAAGACCCCCCACCCCCGCCAAAGGCTTCTCTCACTCAGAATAAAATTCCAAACTCTGCATGTGTCCTAAAGTAGTTTCAGCTGGTCCCACCATATTCTCCAGTTTTGCTCCCTCCTGGGTTCCTACCCATTCCTTACCCTCCAGCCACGCTGGCCTTTCTGCCCTTTTAACATACCAAACTTTTCCCTGCCTCAGGGCCTTTGCCCACTCTGCTCCCTCTGTTCAGGACGCTTCTCAGACCTTAGTGTCTGCATCACTCTTCCCTCAGATCTTTGCCTGGTGGGTCCTTATTTGTCTTTGAGGACTCAGTCTCACTGTCCCTTCCTGAGAGGCCTTCCCATCTAATGTCCTGCCATTCACCCCTGGTCCTACTCGGGCTTTCATGTTCTCCATAGCATGTATGGCCACTGGAGATTCATTCTGTGGGCTTCTGGGCTATTTCCCTAGGCTTATGGGTACTTGGAAGGTACTTGCTGAGTGATAGGATGTGAATGAGCATGGAGATGAACAAGGTGGGGGAGTCAGGTGGTCCACCTCTGGCCCCTGGCTGCTCTGCCCACCAGCCTTATGCTCACCTGGAAGGCCAGCTGACAGATGGGGCCCATCCACTCCTGGCGATGCTGTGCGGCCAGTAGATGACTGCGCTCTGTGGTGGTGAGCAGGAAGGCACCAGTGTCTCTGGGGCAGTTCTCACCATCAGCAGGCAGCACAGACACGCAGTCAGCCAGGCGGATGACCCGCCGTTCCCCACGCCGGCCAGGTCCCGCAGACCTGTCACCTGCTGGCCCCAGGCCACCATCCCGGACCTCCCAGCTTTCCAGCCGTGCCACACCTGATGGGCCTCCTGCATACAGCAGACCCCATACTTTTCGCCAGGACTTCTGTGGGAGATGAGGATGAGAGATAAGACCCTTGGGTAGCAGTTCTCCCCATAGCTCAGCTCTGCACAAGCTGCTTGGCAAATGCTCCTGACCACCCAGGCTGGCCTCTGCTTGCCCCAGAGGAGGAGGCCTTGCCAGGGCCAGCCCAGCAGGGGGAAGTCTGTGCTTGGGGCCAGTCATTTGTGGGTTCAAATCCACTCCACAAATTGCCTGTGACCACCCCCCCCCCCTGCCGGGCACTAGTGCCCTCATATCTCAAAAAGTTATGAGAACACAAGGTTGAGGCTTCTACTGGATCATGTCTCCGAAGTATCTAGCAGCTAAGCAGGTCACCTGACACTACCATTATGTTGGTACCCCCTAACACCCAAAGAAAAGATCACTTGGGCCAGAGGGACAAGGCCTGGGGCAGGAGGAAGGCCTCAGTCTCATGATGGCAAGGAAGGAAACATGCAAATAGCGTAAAGCAAAGGAAACAGACTGTTTATCTGACCAGGCAGCAGCTGCAGCTGAGCTGTGAGGGTGTAGGGCCTACCGCCTGGTGAGAAAGGTAAACTCCCCTATGTCCCTTAACAGAGCTGGGAGGAGCTGAGCCCTCTTCTGCAGGGTGGGGCTCCTCCAGCTCAGCCCCCGGCCTTCTCTCAAGGGGCCTAGGTGCCTCTACTACACAGGGCGGAAGGCTGTTGGGTTAGCTACCCTTGCAGCTCTGCTCTGCCCCAAGGTTTGGAGTCTTAGATCCTCCCCACACTTGGCTTCCCCATCCGTAAGCAAGGCAGAGTCTCAAAAAGGCCCACTCAGCCCAACCCACTCAAGCTGAGAATGGGGTTCTGTTCTACTCCCCAACACCTTGCTTGGGTCCCCCACCCTGACTCCCTTCCCCATTCTCCTAGGTCCTGGTAGGCTGAGGCTGGGGCAGAAGCCTACTGTCCTGGGCAGCTGCCTGCCAGCCAGGGTCCTCACCTTTCCAAACTTGACGTGCTGCTGGTAGAGGATGCCGTCCTTGATGGGAGTCTCCAGAGGCTCCATGGCCGCAGCCAGGCCCCAGGGCTGCCACTCCGACGGCCCGAGGAGACTGGTGACAGGCCAGAGGGGAACTCCTCACACTTCCCCTTCTGGCCACTTCCCCCTCCCTCTGTCCAGAGAGGCAGCTTGCAGGGCTGGGGAGGGGGAGGGGAGCCTGTCTTCAGTAAAGGAGCTAGGAATGGGTAGGGGCATCATATTTCTCCCTTGGGGTTCAGTTGGCCCAAGGTGCCCACATGTGCCTGGCCCTGGCAGGGGCCTCAGACCGCTGGATGGCAAATGACCTATGTCTGCACCTGGGTCAGCTGGCTGTGAGTCATAAGCTCCAACCTCTCCTCTGTGCAGGGTGGTTGTACACCCCAGCACCTGACATTCCCACAGCCCTGCCCCAGGACCCCCTCTCTAGCCAGACTGGCCAATTCCCTGCTTTCCCACTCTTGAGCCCTGATTGGTACCCTCTCAGTCCTACTCTGCTTGTCTTTATCTTGGAAATATTTCTAATATTCATTTGCTCCTGTCTTCACAGCCCCTGTCCATTGCCAGCCTCACTTCTCCCTTTGAACCACTGTCCCACAGGGCCCACCATGGTCCTTTCTATCAGCCCCAAACCAACCGGTCTCTCCCCTTCCCAAGCCTTTCCTGGTTTCCCACTGCCCTTGGGTCTAGCCTGGGCTCCTCAGTGCATCACTCAAGATGCTGTGTTCTGGCCTCTACCTCCCTTCAGCCCAATGCCTCCAGGGAACCCCCTATCACTGTGCCACTCCAGCGCCAGGCTGCCTCTTCCCCTGGGAGGTCCCCTTGACCACCCCACGCTGTCTGAGCACCAGGGCCCCACCAGTGAAGCTCAGTCCTCATGGCAAGGCCTGGTCATGTGAGTGTGGGTGGTGTGCCCCCAGTAGGCCCCTAGAGAGTTCACATGTTCTTTTTTAAACTTTGCTTCTTGCTGGGCACTTTTTTTTTTTTTTTTTTTTGCCTCTCCTTGCCAGAGGCTAATATCGGGGCTTCGAGTGTGTGTCTGAAATCTGGGGACAGACTCATGTCACTCATTCAATGCCACGTTTAGAAAGGAATGTGTAACCAGGCTAAGCAATACCGTTTGGGGTCACATATGGGGTGCGGGCAGGAAATCCTTCCAAGGGTCTTTCCACCTGGCTTTGTATCCAGTGCAGTCCGGGCAGCCCCGAGCTCCAGTAGCTTGACACCATGTCCTTTGCATGCTCATTGCCATTTCAATGATGAGGAAATTGAGGCTCAGAAACATTAGGTAACTTGCCCCAAACCAAACACCAAGTGACAAACATGGCTTGAGCAACTGCTGTCCTGCTGGGATAAGCATGTGGTCTTGCACATGAAGTGCCGGGCACAGAGAAATCGTTGCCAGTGCTCTTCCTCTGCCTACCCCTTGCCAGATGCTGAAATCCTGTTCCATTTGCCCGCGGTCTCCTGACCGCCACCCCGTTATTCATTTCTCATCTGCCTCTGCCACTTACCTAGGAGCTTCCCAGCAGACGTCTATCTGGATTGCCTGGATCCTGAGCCCAACAGAGAGCTGGGCACGGAGTGAGGTAAGTGAGCACTAGTGGCTTGAGCAGCAGTCCTGTGGCATCTGCTTACCCCCTTGGTGAGGGGAACAGAGGGTTCCTACTGGGAGCCTGTGTGGGCTGGCAAGTGGGCAGGGGGCCTGAGGCAGGAAGTCGCCTCCCAAGGGGCCCCAAGAGCTTCATTCAGCTGACAGGAAGAGGGAGGCTGGGGCAAGGCTGGAGATTATAAAGAGCCAACCAGAGACCAGAAAACCCAACCATTTCCCCTTGGCCCACCAATGCGGTCTCTCGAGTCAGCAATCCAGCTAGTCCAGAGGAGATAGCCAGAGCCCCCAGAAGGGGACCCCAGCTACATGGCTGCTTCCACAACTAAGACCCAGCAGGCTGAGTGTTGGCAGTAGCAGTAGGAGATGCCAGTTCCCTGCCTCAGAGGGGCTATGGAAGTCAGAGGGTGAGGCCTACCCAGGAAGCAGGGGTCAGGTAAGACGAAACACAGAGGCGGGGCTGGGCTGAGACCAGAGAGGCTTGTGCTTTAATGACAACTGGGGTAAAGGGGAACAAAAATAGAATCCTGGGGGACACAGGGAGCAGGCAGCCAGGCCCAGCCTGGCCCAGCCCAGGCCAGCTGGGCCGAGGATGCTGGCTTTTTGTCCAAGGGGCTGGTGTGTATGTGGGAGGTGGCTAGAGACTGAGGCCTCTTGGAGACAAGGTATGATAGATGGCTTAGAAGTCCATGGAGCTGTGAGCCAGGTAATCCTTGCGGCCAATGTTGCTGACTTGCTTGGTCTGCATAGCCTCCAGTTTGGGGCAGTCCGTGATTCGATGGCCCAGGCCACCACAGAAGGCACAGCCACGCTCTCCTGGGGGCACGGGGGTGAGAGTCAGAATGATTGCAAGGCCAGGCTCCATATCCCAGACCTTGGCTCCCCCAGGACCTCCTGCCCCTGCCCTCTGATGTGCAGCACAAACTTGTTTTCTGGTGTTCCTGTCATGTCCCCCCCCACCCCCCCACTGGACCCCCACTCCTGCTCCACAGTCACCTCCAATGTCCAGCATGGACTCATCTCCACAGTGTAGCACTTGCAGCACGGGTGGTACCTTCTGCTTAGCCTCTAGCAGCAGGGCTTTGAGGTCCATCAGCACCGACTCATCTGTGGAGGTAAGGATGGAACCATCAGGACCAACCCTGGGCCCTGTAGCCAAGACCCATGTAGCCACAGGCAGATGACCCAGGGGACAGCTGAGGTGGCCCTGGTGGCAGACTTACCGCAGGCCTTGTTGATGAAGGTCGTGGCAATACCTGTGTTTCCTGAGCGCCCGGTACGGCCGATACGGTGCACTGCAGAGAGAGGGAAAGATCCTCTGGCCCACTGCCCATGGGTTGGGGTCTAGCCCGCACCGCTGACCCCCAAGCTCCCCACCGTAGTTCTCGATCTCCTCAGGCATGTCATAATTTATGACATGCTGGATGGCAGGGAAATCCAAGCCCTTGGAGGCTACGTCTGTGGCCACCAGGACATCCTTCTTGCCTTCCCGGAATGCCTCGATGGCCTTGGTCCGCTCCTCCTGGTCTGGGGAAGGTTAGGCAGGAGCCATCAGAGTGACAGCAGGAGTCTGGGAAGTAGTGCTAGGCTCACCAGGCAGGGAAAGGGTTTAGGTGAGGGGCTGCAATGGCAGCAGAATCCATGCCTATGCATGCACTACTCTGACCTTTGCCCCCATGGATGGCCACCGCTTCAACCCCCTTGAGCAGCAAGTACTCGTGGATGGCATCCACATCTGCCTTCTTCTCCGCAAAGATGAGCACCTGTCCAGAGGACCAACTCCAGTCATGAGGGTTGACTCCAACTGGGCATGCCCAACCTTCTCCAGCATACTACCCCTCACTGCCCTCTCCCCTTCATCCCAGAGGTCCAGGGTCAGCCTGGCTGGCTGCACTCACGGGTGGGGGTGTTTTCTGTAGGCACTCGAGCAGGTATACCATCTTGGCCTCTTCCTTCACATATTCGACCTCCTGCCACCACAGGGGCCAGGTCAGGTGGGCCTGCAAATGGGCTCACCAGCCATGACCCTGCCACAGAGCCTGGGCCCCCAATCCTGGCTGGGAGGGGACCAGAAGCCTATTGTCATCAAGGACTGGTCACCCTAAGAATGTCTGCTGCTAAGGGCTGAGGCTTAGATGAAACCCCCAGTGACCACAAGGTGGTCCCTCAACCCTACTCCAACAGCTTTGATGGAGCCTAGCCAGATCCAACCCTCACAAAAGAGACCCTAGAAGGTGTCCTCATCAGGAGTGCCTGCCTACCTGGATGACATCCAGGCTGGCGGCTCCGGCACGTCCCACGTTGATCGTGACAGGCTTTACCAGGGCACTCTTGGCAAAGTTCTGAATCTTCTTAGGCATGGTGGCACTGAAAAGTAGGGTCTGCCGCTGGCCCTGAAAAAGAGTAGGGTGGGAATGAGGGAATGGGAGGCCTGGGAAGACCAAGGAGCTGGGATGTAGCCCCCTGAATCAGGGCCAGTGGGTGTGCAGTGCAGGGCCTCAGGGCCTGCCACAGTTGAATGTGGCGTCCTGGGGAGGGTGGCCAGAAGCCCTGGCCAGGCAGGCATGGGCACCTTGAAGTAGGAGAAGATGGTGCGGATGTCGCCCTCGAAACCCATGTCAATCATGCGGTCAGCCTCGTCCAGAGCCAGGTAGCGACAGATGTCTAGGCTGACCATCTTCTTCTGCAGCAGATCCATGAGGCGCCCAGGGGTGGCCACCATCATATGCACACCACTGGAGATCAAGAAGAGACCCTGAGGTCAGGGCTACCTGCCCATCCCTGCACCTAAGGGCTGCCACTCTGCTCATTCTGCCCTCTGGCCTCTTTCCTGTCTCTCCTCATCTGTCCCCTCATCACTTCCGCCACCCTGCCCTACTTGCAAAACACATCTCTCCTGGAAGGGGCTACAGCTTTCTTGACCACTGCTCTGCTCCAGAGCTCCTACCCAGCCAAGAGTCACCTCTGCTTGCATATCCTTCCCCCTTCTAGATCACTCACTCCCCTTGCCCCCAGGAGGGTTTATCTGAATCTCCAAATAGGCCTTAGTCTGTGCTCCTGTAACTCCCTTTGTAGGTGTTGACGGGCTCACTTTCCTGGTATGCGGAATTAATCTTTTCTGTATCTGAATCTTCCTTGAGACTGGGAATGCCTTGGAAAGAAGGGTCTAGGTCTGGCCGGTCTGTGACCCCAGAGCCTGGTCCAGGGCATCTGGCATTGTCTCCTAGGGACTGCGCTGTGTGGAAAGGCCATGGACCCAGCCCTGCCCTAGTGCCTCAGCTTCCATGATGGACCACACTGGATGGCTCTGACCTTCCTGGAAACCCTGGGTCCTCCACCTCTGTGCCTTCTGCCCAGAATGCCCTGACCCCCTGACCTCCCAAATGTCCCCATTCCATCTGTTGTCCTCCCATAGTACCTTACCACATCCCTCTGTCCCAACCCAACTGATCTCACCATCAGACAAAAAGCTTCTTGAGGACTAGGTCCACAGAAGGTTTCTGTAAGGGTATGTGGGGGTAGTTAAAGCAAAGGGCCCTTTGGCTTATCTAGGGGCTCTGGGGAGGCCCAGGGGGTGCTTATGCTCACTGTCGGATGGTTTCCATCTGCTCTTTGACAGACATGCCCCCAATGCAGAGAGCGCAGCGCAGGAGTGGGGAGCTATCCTCCTGTAGCAGGCGGCAATAATACTCCAGGATGCCGTGGGTCTGCCGGGCCAGCTCCCGCTGCAGGCACAGGGGCAGAGGTTAGCACCAGAAGGCAGGCCTGTCTCTGCCCTGCCCTCCAGCCTGGCTTACTTACTGAGGGACAGATGATGAGTCCATAGGGCCCTTCACGCTTGGAGAAAGGTAACCTCTTTTCTTGTTCCAGGCAGAACATGATGACAGGCAATGTGAACACCAATGTCTTGCCTGAACCCGTGAAGGCAATACCTATCATGTCACGGCCAGACAGGCTATTGGGAGAGAACAGGCCCGATGATCAGGTTCAGTAGAATGCAGGGAATGGGTCTCCAGATGGATACCTAGTGACTACTCCTTCCCATCACCACCCTCTTCAGGGCCCCCATACTCACATGGTGGGGATGCCCTGGATCTGAATTGGTGTTGGGTGGTGGATGCCTTTCTTCTTCAGGCCTCTCAGGATGGCTATGGAAAACAACTTTAGCATCATCCTTGAGTCTCATGGATACTTTATCAGGCCCCCAAAGCTGTAAAATTAGCACTACCCTCTTTGAGTTACAAATGAGGCCCAGAGAAAGAGAGAGAGAAAAATAGACTTGTCCAAGACTTCTAGGCTGAGTGGAGGCAGGATTTGCACCCAGGTACATTTAAGGCTAATGTCACTTGCCCACTGAAGCTCCCTAATGGCAGAGGACAGTAAATAGGGACAACTGGGGCAAATGTAATTCAAACCTAAAGAAACCCCTCCTCAAATCCCTCCAGTCTCACTACCTGACTCATCGCTGAGATGCTAAGCTCAGGGGAGGCTGGGACACAGGCTCACAGTTGTTTGACCATCAAATTCCCAGTACCTGCAGGAAATTTCATTTCCTTGAAGCTCTTTATGGGTGGTGGGATACCATCTCCTTCCACCAGGATGTGATACTTCTTCCTCACGCGCTCATGCCGCTCTTCAGACATGCTCAGGACATAACGGGGAGGTGTCCAACTGTGAGTGGGTGGTGGGGGTCAAGAGAGGTCCCAGGCACAGCTGGCTCTGGGGTGTCCCTGCCAGGCTCAGCTACATACCATTCCAAGTAAAGATGACTGCTTTTCCACAGACTAGAAAGACATACCTGGTTTTGATTGGATCGTCATATGTGATTCCCTTGGCCATTTCCTTCACTGACATCAAAGCTGAGGAGACAGATCTGGCTCAGGGATGGCTCTTGCTTCCCAGAGGCCAGGACCTTCAGATATAACATGCCTGGGGCTAGGGAGGAGGCTTAGTCCACCTCTCCCCTTGCCTGACTACAACCATACCTCGGCCCTCTGCCACACTCTCCAGGATCTTTTCCTCTTCTTTCAGCTGCTTCTCCTTGGCAGACTCCTTGCGAGCTGAGAAAAGAGGCTGATGTCAGAGACACGCCAAAGCAGTGCACCAAAATGAGCCTCCCCGCTGCTTCCCAGCACACCTTCAGCCTTCTCTTTAAGGTGCTGGTGCTGATCCAGGAGGCTGACGTTGGACTGTGGGCCCAGAGGGATGTCGTCCTCATCTCCCCGGGGCTCGCTGCCGCTGTCCTGCAGCTCCTCCTCCGCAGCTCCTTTGCGCCTTCGTTGCAATAGCTTCTGGAGCTGAGGTTCCACCAGCGCCCCTCAGAGCCAAGCCCAAGACAAAGCGGAGTATCGGGCCCAGGGGGCTTGCGTCAGAATCTTGGCTTTTGGGAGAGGGTCCTGTGCCACGCGACATGGAGGTGCCCTACCCCTCAGATCAGACTGGCAGTCCCTGGTTTGCCTAGGGGCCACGGTCCCAACTACTGACAGCTCACTCCACTGGATGCCACCCTCCCTCCCACACCCTCATTTCTCTTCTGACCCGAGGCCCTCACCAACAGTTGCCGCCGCTGTCGCAAAGGCACGTAAGGCACGTAGTCTTCGTCGTCCTCATCCTCCGCCTCGGAGCGGCTTCCTGTGGCAGTCGCTTCATCTGTGCGAACACGCTACAGATACACATGAATCAGGCCCAGGCCCCCGCTTTCACAGCTGCTCGCCACCCGCACCGACCCCTACCTCGCTCCCACCTTCCGTTCGGGTTCCGAGTCCTCCATCCTTTGCTGTACGCAGGCGCGCTACGGTAAAACCCCGCCTCAATTTTTGCGTGAGATCCAATCAGATGTGAAGAAGCGGAAGGTCGGCACCTAGCAACGACCTCTGAGTGCCGGATCGCGCAGAGGGACAAACTTTCCCGAGACCCTGTCAGGCAGTGCTGCGTCAAAGTACCCTTGGGCGGCTGCGCATTTGTTGCCAGGGGCGAGGGCGAAGCGTCATACAATGCATTATGGGACGCTGGAGGACTTGGAGCATGCGCTAAAAGCTCAAACGAAGCCTGGTGGAAGGTCCCACGAGTGGAGATACAGAAGAGACCCGCCTACCGGAGGCCTAGCTTCGCCCATAGCCTGACGTCATCTGGCACGTTCCGGGACTGGGCCAACTGGGACCCCACCGGGGACTCCATCCCGGGCACGGGGCGCGGGTAACGAATCAACTTGCACTGCAGCTCTGACTGGCGTCCTTATCTATGTGACAACACGTATGTTCAGAGTGGTGAGGGATAAATAAAATACTGATGACAGTGTTTTCGCTGAGGTTCTGTACTTATGTACGAAGTTATTATTATTGCAAATGCTGTGATAGAGCTTAGAGTAACTCACTGCCTGGGGAACTAGAGGCTTCGAGGAGACCTAGATCTGAGCTTCCAGAGAAGTGTAGAATCTCAGAACAGGGAGGGGAGGAAAGGGAGAGAAGCCTTCTGAGGGAGGGCCCTGCAGGAGTGAAGGTCTGGCCTTGTGCAAGCACACAGATTCCTCAAGGAACAGACGGGTCACGTGGCCGGCTGCTGTAGGGATAGGAGTGGTCAGAGCTAAAGCTGGATAGGTAGACAGGGACCAGGGCATGCAGGGCCCTGTCAGAAGTAACTTCAACTTCACTGGGGACTTTTATTTGAGAAAGAATGAGCGTGAGGGCAGGAAAGGTGCAGAGAGAGGGAGAGAAAATTCCAAGCAGGCTCTGCGGTGTCATTGCCAAGCCTGAGCTCCGGGCTCCATCCCACCCACTGGGAGAACATCGCCTGAGCCAAAATCAAGAGTCAAGGCTCAACCAACTGAGCCACCCAGGCAAGCCCACTGGTGACTTTTGAAGAGGAGTGATGGGTCAGTACTATTCTTTCCTCCATTCATGTATTTAACATGAGCACGTGCTGGGTATTGTGCACAGTGCTGAAGCAAATGAAAGATGAAGACACAAACCTGACTTGTGAGTTTATGGATTAGTTGAGACAGAAATATAATGGATCTTGATATTCAGGAGAAATATTTTAAGACAGATAAGGTAGTACTTTCTGGAAGCATCACAAGGCAGGGCAAATTGATTCTCATTGTAAAATGGCCTTTCAGCTGGAATGTGAAGGATAAGCAGGAAATGATAAAGGAAAGGTAATCTAGGAAAAAGGAAATGTGTGAGCGAAAGTTGGGAGACCTGAGAGTGCCAGGCCTAGATGAAGACTGAGGTCATCTGGTATTGCTGAAGTGCTGGGAGGTGGGGGCTGGTTGTGGAAGCCTCTGAATGCCACCCACAGGTTTTTCTCTGTAGGTAAAGCAGCTCCTTGATCAGACCTGCAATTTTTGAATGATGAAGCAGAATTTTAGATAATTATGCCAGTTCAGTTGCAGCATGGGAGCCTGGTGCAAGAGTTGAAAGGAAAGAAGAACAAAGGTAATACATATACAGACAGGTTTCACAGGGGAGTTTGCATACTTTCTTGGAGATTAGGAAAGTCCAGGGACCAGGAATTGTGAGCCTGTGAGTGATGGTTTTTAACATCTTTAGAAGAGGAAGCTGGCACTGACAGCCCGTGGTGGGATTCAACCTGGGAGGAAAAGAAGGGGGAGGGAACAGTTTCTGATCCTGCTCCCACCTCTCCATAAAGGGCTCTTAGTGACTGAGTGGCCACAGCCTCCACTGCTTCCCACACAAGCTCAAGTTAAGTGTCAGTTTTAGAGAGAAAATGACATTGGGGACAAGGAGTTGGAAACACAAGTGTGTGCGAGAAAGCATTGTTTAACAAACCTATTATATTAAAATCTGAATTTAAGAACCAGATTTACTGTGGGGGGTGGTGGGGTAGGAATGAGGTAGTTTGCTTTACTTTACAGAAGGGTTCATTATCCTCAACAATCCAGTACTTAGGTTATAGGTCTCATTCCCATTGGAAAGTCAGATCCAATTTATAGGAACTTCATTTACTCCACTTCTCCTGACAATGTGAATCACCCAGGTTACAGGTGTACAGTCCATAAAGGCCGTAAGCCTTTCCCAGACTCCATCTCACATCAGTTGCAAAGAGATCGAGTCTCACTCCTCCAACTCACTGGTTTTGCAGAGGGGGAAACAAACACAGTATGGGGAAACAGCTGCTCAAGTTTACATACCAGAGTCCTCCCAACAGGAGGAAAGAGCACAGATGCTGCTGTTATACAGGCCTATGCTCTAATCCTAGTCAGCCAGACTGAGTGCACTGAAGTCACTTGCCCGTCTTAGCTTTAGTTTCCTCATCTATAAATTGGGATAACAGTCCCATTTAGAACTGCTGTAAGAATTAAGAGGAAATTACTGAACTGCTGACACATAGTATGTGCTCAATGAGGTTAATGACTAAGGCAGAGCCCATGCTTCTGAGTACATTCCTCACCTCACCCCCATCCCAGACCAGCAAACCACCAACACACGGACTCTGTGTCCAAATGTTGCTTTATCTTTCGGCAGGAAAGATCTTCACAGTATCAAAAGTAAAGAATTGAAAAACAAGAACAAAAACAAAACCAAACACAAAGAGAGCAGTGTTGGGCCAGCAGTACCATCAGCCCCCAGCCCACAAGCCAGTCCAGCCCCCGGGCTCTGAGTGAGGAGGCTGCGTAGCACCAGGAAGCGGCTCTGTGGAGGTCCTGAGGGGCCCCAGCACGGCACAGCATCCATTCAACTTTTGGTTGGTCCAGGATGGCGAGGAGCAGGGAGGATCTTGGGCAGGTGGATAGGGATGTGGAGGAAGAAACTGTAGACCTTCAGCTGGCAGTTGGGGTCTCAGGACACCCTGAAGAAGCTTGACCCGGCAGGGGCTGAGAAAACAGGAGAGCATGGCTGCACCGTGAGTGAGACCTTTGACTTAGCCTCCCCATGTTGGCTCTGGGTTTCCATGGGTCCCCATGGGTAGGAACAACTGCCTGCTATTTTTACTCCCTGGGCTGAAAATATTGAATAGACTTCCTTGATTACCTCCAGCAGAGGATGAAAGTTAAGACCCTGCCAGGGGACAGCTCCCCTGTCACACCTCTTTCCAAGTCAGGGTAGGGTAAGAGCCCAGCCTCTGGTCTTTGCTCTCCTACTGACAGGAAGGGGAGAGGCGGCATATGCATCCTGACTCCTGCCTCAGGCTCTGGGTACACAGCCCAGGCTAGGTCCCGAATCTGTGCCAGCACTGCTTTCTCATGCACTCTCAGGGCTCCCACTCTGAGGAGGGTGGAAAAAGCAGTGGAGAGCCCTTATGGTGGGAGTAGGACAGGAAGGGAACATCTCCAGTCTTGGGAAAGAAATCAACCAAAGAGGGAGTCCTTGAGAGAAGATGGCCGGATGAGGTTTCCTGGCCGACAAGGGCATTGGGCTGTGGGAGAAGATGTGCCCCTTTTACTCTCAGAAGAGGCAAAAGATGAAAGTGCCTGGGGTCCCCGTCACTCCTGGATCCTGTGGAGGTAGAAAAAAGAGGCAGGAGGGCACCCTGGTCCTGGCAGAAGCTCCTGAGGGTGTGGACATTTCAGTTTGGCCAAAGACCAGGGAACCTAGCCCTTTCAGAGAGAGGGGCTAAGGTGAGTCTAAAGACAGTCCTGATTCCGGGCAGCCTGAGGTGCCATAGGGAGCCGAGCCCCAAAGACTGCCCTAGCTTCAGGCTCTCTGGGCTGTTCCTGGGGAGCTGAGGCCAGCATCAAGGGTGGGGAATCCTGACCCCAAAAATGACAAAGGGACTCGGCTGAGGGTCCAGGAAGTCTGCTGCCCTGGCCCAGAGAGGCGTGTTCCTGGCACTGAAAAGAGAAGTACAGGTGAGGACACCCTCCCAGGGGTCCCTGAGTTCAGCTTACCTGCCTCAGTTTCCTGTTGCCTTAAGGGCAAGTTGTGTGATTGCCAGCCAGAAAAGGCCCGATCCCAGGGACAGAGCATGGAGTTAAGACAGGGCACTGTATAGCCATTAGGCTGCAAACCCAGCACCAAGGCCTGTCTGCTAGCCAGCCTTCTCTCCTACACTATGGTTCTCAGCCCTTCTTGGTCTTCTGTTTGCAGTCCAGAACATCATCTGATATGTTAGTATTGCAGGGGCACCTGGGTGGCTTAGTCGGTTGAGCATTCGACTTCAGCTCAGGTCATGATCTTGTAGTTCGTGAGTTCAAGCCCCTATCAGGCTTGCTGCTGTCAGTGCAGAGCCTGTTTCAGATCCTCTATCTTCCTCCCTCTGCCCTTCCTCACTCTCGTTCTCTCAAAAATAAATAAAACATTAAAAAAATATACATGTCAGTATTTCAGACAAAGGACCAGTGTAGGTGGCTCGGAGAGGAGGCCAGAGCCCAGCTCAGGGCCAGATCTCTTCTTCAGGAGGCAGCCCAGCTATCATTTATTTCTTCATGGAGCTTGTCATATTTGTGGAGAGTGCTCACCAACTCCTCCATGCCTAAATGACCTCTCCAAGGTCTTGGTCTACCTCATCTGCCTTCTCACTGGTTCTTTGGGGCTGGCCCCTTCTTGTATGGTTTTAGCTGGGAAGCATCCTGGTAGCCTACCAGGCCAGGCAAATGAGATTCAACCCTGAGGCTAATAATGTCAGCGGTGGGGGCAGTCCTCTGGGGACTAAGGCTGCTTGAGAGGCAGATGGTAAGGGAAGCAGGGGCCTGGCAGAGATAGTCCAAGGATGGCAGTGCAGGAAGGACCCTTCAGGAGCACAGGCAAGAGGGAACACAGGAGGGTCTGGCCCAGGATATCTTCAGAGAGTGTAACTTGTGGTGCTGTTGCCATGGAGGTACAGGGGCCAGGGCTGGCAAGCTGCTAGGCTAACTCCATGTGCCCCAGAGCATGAAATGGTCTGGCGGGGGCACAGAAGTGACAGAACTTGGGGAGAGGGAGTACGTGCAACACTTAGGGTTCTCCATACCTCACTGAACTGTGCTGGGAGTGGTTTTCTTGAGGCTGAAGTTGGTCCAGTTCACAGCAACTTTCTGACGAGTTTGCTTTGCAGAATCCAAACAGAACCTATTGGTTTTGAGAGACACCAAAAAAGCACAATTAGAGGTTCTCACTGCTAGACCCCCTTTCTAGACCTGTGTGTCCTGGTCAATAAAGGAACCAAGTCAGCTCTGTACAAGTCCTTTGGTTCCAGGGTATTGGGATCTAGCAGCTTATGTGAGCTCTGCTGGCTTTCTGGACAGAGTGCCCACAAGCCAAGGGAACAATGTGTTAAGAGACCAACACTGCCTCAGGATACAGGGTTGCTCCTCACACTGTATTTTTACTGCAGCTACACTGGGTTGCCTTCTGTTCCCCTAGGTACTGCATGTTGCTTTCAGCTTCAAACGTCTATACCTACTAGCTCCACTGTCACGAAGGCCCTGTTTTACCTTGCCCACTTATTCTTATTTCTCAGGTCTCAGCTTGGTTGCCACTTCTACTAGGAAGGCTGCCCTGGCCTCGCCTACGTTTCAGCTTCGCCTGTCGCCCCACTTCTAGCTGCCTCCCCCATGGCCCCATACCCTTACTCTTCCAACAGCACTCAACATTGTTTATGGCTCTCTCTCCCCACCTAAGCTGTGTTTGATTTGCCTCTACCCTAGAGCTCAGCCCAGGCAGAGCAGAGAAAGTGCAAATGAATAAACAAAGTGAATAAAGCTGGAGAAAGCCCTGGTTCTTGGGGCCTGACATGCCTCCTTCTCCCTGTCCCTTATACTTTTCCAGATGCCCTGTCCTGCCATGTGGCTACCTGGGTTCCAGGAGATATACTGGTGGGAGAGAGCTTGGAGAAGCTCTCCCTCTGAGGGAGTCGGGCTGAGGGAGAGCCTGAGTGTGAGTGGGCGAGAAGGCATCCCCACACCTACCTCTTGAAGTACTCCACCTCCCGGTCAGTCTCATCCATCTCCACCCCATCCATGTCCTTGGGCAGGAACACATCGTCTAGGAAGACACAGCCAGGAGGGCTTAGTGTCCACGGCCAGGCCTCTGGGGTCATGCTCTTAGGGCAGCACTGCCCACACGCAAGGATTACCCTCCACCCTCTGGCCTGGCTGGGGTGGGGGTGGGGGGTCAGCCACTCAATTCCTGGTGCACTCACCCAAGGAGGCGGCTGTCTTCTCCTGCTTGTTGCGGCTCCGGCGGCTGCGACCCTTGCCCTGTGGCAAGCTCTGTGGCCTTGCTGGGCCTGGGGGCTGCACAGACTCCTGCTCCAGAGGCCGTGCTTTGGCCTCACCTGGCCAGTTTCGCCAGGAGCTGCCCTTCTCGTCAGCTTTGGGGCCGGCAGCCCAGCCTGGTCCTGGCTGACTCCCCCGGCTCCCTTCTCCAGCCTCAGCACAGCTGCCCACTTTGGGAGGCTCTGTGGCCTTGCCTGGCTGCTTGGTGCTGGGGATCTGGCCCTTGGCATTGGGAACCTCGAGGCTGGCAGGGGACCGTGGGGCTGGGCTTGCCTCGATCTTCTTGGCCTGACTGCCCTGTCTCTTGCCCTTCCGCGGCTTCCCAGCTGAGACCACAGGCTCGGGCAGCTCCTGCTTGCAACTGGGAACCTCCTTTGGGCCTGGCTCCTCAGGGCTAGGGTTGCCTGGCTTGGGTGTCTTGACCCAGATCACCCGGGACAAGTTGGGCACGGCGTTGAGTCTCCTCACTAGCCCATTCTCAGGGATGATACCAGGAGGGGGCCCCCTCACCTCTGTCCATGGTGGGTGGGAGCCTCTCATTTCTGTCCATGGTGGGGCTGGCTCACCTGGAACTCGTAACGTGTGGTTCTGAGAGGAGCCCAAAGTCAAAGGGGACAGGTCAAGATTAATGTCAGGCCGTTGCTCTGAGGAACCATTGAGGTTTGAGGGGGATAGGCTCTGGGGCTCTGGCTCAGCAGCACCCTCCTTAGAGAATCCATTGCTGTCCATGTTGAGCTCACATACACTGAAGCTGGCACGGATAGAGTCCTTGACAGTGTTCTTGATCTCTTGCAGACGGCTGCTCAGGAAGCTATTTACTCGATCCAGCTCCTGGTCAGGCCACTCCAAGAGCCTCTCCCTGGCAGGCCTTGGCTCCCGGCTTCCAGAAACACTACGATTCACCTGCTTTAGAGCTTCTGCTGCCAAGTGGGCCTTCTCCTTTTCCTGCCAACATAAGACGCAATTTCAGCGGAGGCCAGGCAGCTACCAGGCACAGTGTTGACACCTGACACATCAGCCTGGGGCCCGCCTTTGCGGCTAACTGGCTAGAGACAGGGTGTTGCCATCCTGGCTTGCTCACCCACCCTGTGGGAGTGAGGATGAAATGCAATCAGACAGGTGCATGTCCTGGGGATGGAGACAGACCCACAAAGGATAGGCTTTTTATAGCTTGTTCATCCAGAGCCCTGGTGTCGTAGGGCCTACGGACACTAGGACTCAAAGGGATAGGAATGCAGCTAATTGTACCTTGCCTTCCAGGCTTGAGCTTAAGCAGTTCAATCACTTGCTGAGTCTCCGTGGACTCATCTGCAAAAGGGGGGAACAATAATTCTGGAGTGAAGACAAAACTGGGGATGCATGTGAGGCAGATGGCTGCTACAGAAGCA